ATGGCCTACGACCGGACAAAACTAAAACTCTCTGGTTCGACTCTTCGTCGTCGTCTGCAAAGAGCTGACTTGACTTTGCACGTTTTCGTTTCATGAGCATCACATAGACAACAGCATGATACCTCTAGCTCACCCGGACAGAGAAGCACATCACCGACACCGCCAACCAACACCCGAATCACCGACCCTCCAATCCACGCAAAATTGCAAGACTTGAAGACGCCATCGTTTCAGCGGCTCTTTCTTCGGCCATGTGTTTCCGTTTCACAGACTCTTCGCTAAATCCTAGGCATCCGCCAAGCAAGAAGTTGCAGTGACCTTTCACGTATTCGTTCCATGAGCATCACAGAGGCAACAGCACTAGCTCATCCGGACAGACTTCCGTTTCACAGACTCTTTACTAGGGGACCAGACGTAGTTTCCTGCAGTCCAACACAAATTGATGTGCGGCTGGGACGCCCACAAAGCCGAAGATGCCTGCTTCCTTGCTGGGACACAAGCTCCGAAGCAAAAGTTGGAACCCAACACGGAAATCAAGGCTCTGGCGTGGGCTTGCAATCCGGACTTGGGCCTGCTGCATGCAGCAACTCTCAAGCTCAGACAAAAGAAGCAAAAACCTGGCCTCAGCTTCGTCAAAGGCTCTCCTGTTGCGGCAACTCGGACGGACAGAACGGCGTGTTAACGGAGCAAGCACTTGTTCGGTGCAAACTTCGATTTGGCTGCTTGCGCCTCAGTCCCAGCCGTCGAAATCGGACTCGTGTGGTCCGGACTCCTCCTCACTTTCGGAATCTGGCCTTTCATCCGAGCCCGTGCTGTCGCTAAGGACGCTGGGCATGGATTGCTCGGCCGGGTCATTCTCTCCGCCTACGGCTCGCCAGTCTGTACGGCGAACCTGACCGAGGAGATAGACATCTGCCTTCAGCTTGGCCCTTGACACTCCAACGTACGCGTAGCCTCGGTCGGCTACGCATCGGTCGAACCAAAGTCCAACTCTCCCAAGAGTGGCGCCTTGTGCACGGCGGATGGTAGTTGCCCAGCCGTATGCCACCGGGAGAAACATTTGGCCTTTGACGCAAATGGGATGCACTAAGATGGACGTGCCTTGGTCAGATGCTAGCACGACGATGTCCCGGCGGAGCATGAGGCGAATCGTTCCCATTTGTCCGTTGACGAAGCTGCGGTCTTTGTCAACGTTGTAGGTCAAGCGCAGTCTCATGCCGGGGTCGAGGACGACAGGCTCCGTGTCGGTGGGCACTCCTCCGTTGTTGGCGAGTTCGCAAGCGCCGCTCGTGGAAATTGGAGCTGCAATCTGGCCGTGTTGATGGCTGCAGCGCCGCGGTTGGTGACCGTAAGGAAAGTAAAATCTTTTCCGTCCCGCTCCAGAGTTCTTGCGGTGCGGACCGCTTCGTCGAGGTCTGTACTCCACACGCGTCCTCGAAAGAAGCTCTCCAGTTCGACTCTGCTGGGCTGGCTCTGTCGTGCCCGGTTGAGGAAGTCTAGCATCGCAGGATCCGTGGAGCGTGCCGCCTCGTGTTGCCGGAGTCGGACGCAAGTGACCGCACCCTTCAGGATTTGCTCTTGCAGATTCTGGTGCAGTCGTGGTCGTCCCACAATGGGTTGCAGCTGCTGGAAGTCGCCCACGAGCACTATGTAAGGAGATGGATGCAGCTCTGCCAGCGCCGTCTGCAGCTTTCTCCACACAGGACTGTCGATTTGGCTGACCTCGTCCAAGATGATGAGGTCGTAATTGCGTAGGCGTCCAGGCGGGATGTAAGCTTCGTCGGCTTGTCTCACGATCTGGAACGCCGAGTGCACGGTTTCCATGGTCAGATTCGGATCTGCCGGTAGGCGCTGTCGATACATGGCGACCAGGAGGCCTATGGGCCCGGCAACCAGGACGCGACAGCCGTCCTCCAGGGCACGTCTGGTAGCGGCAATGACCACCTCTGTTTTGCCGGTGCCCGGTCCACCGGTGACGTGAAGGATCCGGTTCGATGCCTGGATCTCGGCTGCATCGGCGACGCGTATGCCTTGCTCGATGTAGTCGAGAACTTGTCGCTGCTCGGCCGACCACTGCCGCTCTGGTGCCGCCGGCACTCTCCGTGCACTCCACAGTTCAGGATCTTCGGCTCCACTGTAGATCTGAAGCAGAAGAAGCGTGCAGGCGTGCACTCGGGCCTTGAAGGTGTTGATCCGGTCCGCCCCCAAGCCGCGGAATTGTAGCTCGAGCTCGATACTTGTCAGCAGCTTGCCAACATCCGGGGCAAAGGTATTGGGATTCGATCCTGCTTTCTGGAACTCGTCCAGGCACAAAACCGTTTTCAGGTGCAAGCAGCCAGCGGGGGCTCGCAAAAGTCCCTTGCGCTGGCGCTCCTCCTCGAGATATGGCGGATAGTGCTCCTGGCTGGGAGTCTCTTCCGGCAGAAGTCGAGACTCAAGCATGCCCGGCAGGCAGGAGGCAGCCCAAGCTCCGATGAAGATGTCCAGGAGCTCGAACGGGAAGCTGATGGCCACACCGCAATCTTTGCCTCTTGCCGGTCCAGCCGCGTTGCGGGCCGTGACCTTGTGCTTGTGCTTCGGGTCGTCACTCGGGCGAAAGCGCCGAAGCCATTGGATGAAGGTGAGATCACCGCCATGCCCGAAAGCGTCTGGAGACGTCCAGATGTGATGCTGATAAGCAGCGTACATGTCCCTGGAGCTGTTCTTTGCTTTGCTGCCTGGAATCGGAGCAAAGAGGCTGATGCCGC